GGGAGTTGCTTGTGCTTAGGAAAGATTCTGCATAAACTGTGGATATTGTGTGGATGGGGAGAGAGGAAAAGGCAAATAAACGATTACTAATAGTTCTCAGCATCCCCAGTTTGCGTGTGTGTCCTTCTGGCTGCTCCGTGTCCATTGCTGTGGGGCTTGTCTGTAGCGGAGATTATGCTCCTGCCTGAGGCAGTGGATCCCATGTGGTTGTCATGCTGACCTGTGAAGGCCCCTGAGTCTAGGCCATCTGTAGCTGCCCACACGGAAGGACAGTCTTCAGGGTCTTGATTTGTCAGGATGAAGAAATTAACAAACAGATAAACTCTTTCCTGACTTCTGACTCTGCCAATTTTCCTAAACCAGCAAGATGTGACTGGCTTGGCCAATACAGGGCAGAGAATATTGCAGGCCGCCTACTAAGTGGGAGTCAAGACACTGAAGTATCCTTCCGACCTCAGGGTTCAAGCTTCTGCCCCACATCCGGCCTGATGCTATCCTATCCTTGGGCAGCTCTGTGGCCTTGCGCTCCTTCTACAAAACTGACATTGGCACAGTCTGTTCGGTAATGCCACCCACTCCTGATGGAGGCAGTGCTTTTGCCCCACAAGCAGATAGAAGCTAAGGTGGAAATTATTATTCTGTTTAGCATTCACCCTCCTCCCATCTTGAGCCCTGGAATCCAAATGGGAGTTGCCTCTGTTCAGATGCCTCTCCTTCACAGGCCGCAGAGATTGGTCCCGTTTACTCATCTGATTCAGGACACGTCAAGCAGTCCCTCCATGGGTTATTTTTTCCTAGTGCAGAGGGGGAGCATCCCCTCTGCGGTCTGACCCTTGGAAGCAGAGCTGCAGCCACTGGCAGGCAAAGTCTCTACCATGTGCTTTAGCCACTTGGAAAGCATAAAACCTGAAGACTGAAAACAAAGCAAAGAGAGGAGAGGGACAATTTGAGGGCCAGAGGCCCTGATTCCAAGCATCCCCAAGGCAATCTCCGTTTCAGGCTGGATATAGGACTCACCGATGGGCTTCTTTTGGGTGAAACCAGTTCTTCCTTAGACTCCTATGCAGACAGCCTTGCCACAGAGGCCTTTCCTTGGTCAGGTGGTCACGGCTAACTCAACTCCAAAGTGTTTTTGGTACTTTTAGGTTCAGTTCTTCATTGTGTTACGTTGCCTTTTCCCATGTGGCCCCCTGTATCCTCTCCGCTCAGGGGCACCCAACTCTCCATTGCTATGGCTTCACACACCGCCATCCCCCAGACTTCCGCTCCCAGGACGTGCTCTACCACTGTGCCACCACTTAGCCTACCTCCTTTTGGGCTCCATTCACCTTCCCGTTTCCCTATTCTCTTCGTCCTGACATACATATGTTTCTTCAGAAAGACTAGATTCCTTTGAGGGCAAGAATCTCTTTATCCCAACTCCTTTGCCTCATATCACAATTCAGCCGCAATAGGCCCTCCATAAATATTTGCTAAATAAATCAAATAGGAATCCCCATTTCTTTGATGGATCATCCTTGACTAGTGGGGAAAAATGAATAAATTCTTTTTTATTCCTTTGCTGGAGCAGTCTACAACTCTCACCATTTCAGAGGACATTATTCCCCCCTCTCTGGGTATTTAATGTCAACACGTGTAGTCACTGTCCTGTGAAGTGTTCGCCAGGTGGAGTTTTGGTGTTCCTGTATTCATCATTACCTCCTCTCCAGGCAACACACATACCTGGACAACCTGAGTTAAAGCCTGGTGTTGCTGCTGCATTTGCACCGCGGGGCAAGACACCTCCTCCTATATAGAAATTAGGGAATCTCCTTCCTAGAGTATTTATATTTGATTCTGGTAACCAATAAATTTAACTTTTTTTAGCAAATGCTTGCCAGGCATTCATTAAATGCCAGACACAGTTCTGAACGCTTCAGCTATATTAAATCGTGCTTCCTCATAACAACATTGCCAAGTAGATATAATTGTTACCATCAACCTCATTTTGCAGGTGAGGAAATGGGGACACAATGATTAAGGAACTTGCTCAAGATCACACAGTGATTGGTGGCTAAGCTGGATTAAAGTGGGCAGGCTGGCTCCAGAACCCATGTACTAATTGCCGTACCCTGCTGCCTCTCATTGTGATCTGGGCAAGGTCTACCCTGTACATCTGCGCCCTTGGAATCTGAGTTGTCTTTCTCAATCTCCGGGCCCCTCGAGAACAGGAAGGCTCTTTGGTCTGACCTACCTAGCAACATGCTGAGGTGTGCTTAATCAGTGTTCTCATTGATTTATTACCTATGGCTTGAATACAGGCTTATTTATGTTATTTTATGGAGTTAATTGTTCACATTGTAATCAATGCCAGTCCTAAAATTTGGCTCCTTGAAATATATTTCCAAACAACCTAGGAACCAAGCCAAGAATTAACTCTAATTACACATTATACCAGTTTTGAGTACTGGAGATGACTCGAAGGCAAAATGTTTGTGCTTTAAAATTATTAATCTGATAGTAAATAAAATGTGATTTTGCCCAGCAGAGAGATAAAGTTACATGGCATTCTTTTTGCATTGCCCTTTCTAGGTGTCAAGGATCATGTAGGACTTTTTCTCCTAATGATTTCTAGACCTTTTCTTGAATTAATATATGATTTTTAGCTGCCCAAACCCACCACTTGCTGTTCAGCAAAAAAAAGAATCATATTCAAACCCCTCTCTGTGGGTTCACCTCCAACAAACAGAACAAACAGGAAAAACACATGGGGAGAACTGTTTATTTGATGCAGGGGTTATTCATAATATAGTGTGGGACACATTTTGGAGCCAATTCTAGTTGCTTCAGGGTATTTCTAAATTGAATTCCAGGAATAAAGTGTTTATAAATAGTAAGCATAAAAAAAGAATGCATTCATCCCAACCACTTCCTTATGTAGTTCCAATGGCTCCCCTTGCAACTATGAACTCCTTTGGCTAGTTAATTGCTTAACTACTTAAGTTGGTGGTGCTCAACCCCATCAGACACAGCACCCTGTTTTATAATAAATATTTTTAGCCCCTTTAATAATCCTTACATGAAATTCATAAATAATGAAAGCTACACATGGAAGATTTGAACAATAAATATAATGCCTTAATAATGATTAAAAGAGGGACAACAGGGTGGCTCAGTGGTTAAGCATCTGCCTTCGGTTAAGGTCTTGATCCTAGGGTCCTGGGATCAAGTCCGGCATCAGGCTCCCTGTGGGGAGCCTGCTTCTCCCTCTGCCTATGTCTCTGCATCTCTCTATGTGTCTCTCATAAATAAATAAATAAGTAAATAATCTTTAAAAAAAAAACTTCAATGATTAAAAGAGAAATAAAAAGAAAATAATTTATGATGATAGTGTAACTAATTTAATGTGGAAATGCTGTGGTACTATTGTGATAAGAGAAATAATAAAGTCAACAGACACTTGAACCTGATGTGATTCAGCATAATATATGAAGTAATATATGATATCTAAAATATGTAAGAGCAATGTAGACTGATCCAGATGTGCTATATAGGTGATTTAAAGATGGTGACAATGATATGATTTAGCAAACTTATGAACAAATCTTGGTAAAATTTATAATACTGTATAATCTTCCCTCGATTTACATGGTAGTTACACAAGCAGAAAATTTACTATATATATAAACAAGCTGCTTTATGCTTATATGTAAATGCAGTTAGCATCTTGGCTCAGGTTACAATAGGCAAGTTTTCACCTATGTTAAATGTGTGGTAAGGCATTCAGTAGTTCACAGGACATATGGAAATGCTTTGCTGTGCAGAGCTATCCTGAGCACTGTACTACTCTAGCCTTTCTAGCCCTGCCCTCTAGATGCCAGCAGTGTCCTCCACACACTGTGTTATCGGAGAGCAACCATGAATGTCCCCAAATGCACTCTATTGGATGATATCACCCACGTTGACAAGCACCAGGTTACTAGCATTAGCCCCTAATCATAATTATGTCAGTTTATTCGGCTGACTTTTTCTAGTTCTTGAAGACATGCAAGTTTTACCACATGTCTACAGTAAAATCCTTAATAATTGGATTATTTGTGAGACTGAGTTCCATGGAAAGAGTTCATCCAGTACACATGATGTCTAGTACCCAACACAGTCCCAGGCTCTGCTAATGTAGCTCAAATGAGTAAATAGTTTTTGAGTTAGACATTTGGGCTCATCAAAAGATATGTACTATTTAAATCAAATAGTTTTGATACTTTCAAGTATAAGTGGAAAATCTGGAAGCTCACAAGGGAGACTTGTAGCTAAGAATTATTTTTAAAACACCATTCCAAGTGTTTCTGCTTGAATGAATGACATTAAAATGTTTGAAAACATCTGGAACCTGTCAAAGATCCAGAATCTTCATGTCATTTTGAGTAAGGAAGGGGAACATGTCGAGGACTCTATATGAGCTGTGGCTTTGGCCTGAGGAGATTTGCTTAATCTTCATAGTGGTCCGGAGGCAGCCTTTACTAACCCTGTTTTTACCAGAAAGACTCAATAAGGAAATAACATGCCCACAGTAAGTCATTTGGATCGACAGCAAACGGGGTTTGAACCCAGACCTGTCTGATTCCAGAGGCTTTGTCTTTCCCAAGAAATCAACGCTGCTCCTCCTTTGTGAAGTGAGGCAAAGCTAAGTGTGTGTCTATTAAATCTACCTCGGAAGGACCATGAATAACAGCTTTGTGAGATCCACCTGAATATAACTTTACTCTATATGTGGTTGTGGCTGTCATGTCTATTCCATTCCACTCTCCTACTGGTTCAGTAATTTTTATGTTGATCCTGTTCTTGATCTGGATCCAGCATTGAGGGGCTCATGCCAGCTGCCATCAGGGGAGTCTGGAGGGCTGGGACAAGGCCCTCTCCATCTCTGGGTCTCCAGGACCCAGCATGGCACCTCACACAAAGTGGATGCTCAGGCAGTATTTGTGGGGTTGACTTTAATCGAATGATGTTTCTCCTTTTAGGCCTTGGCCTTACACGATATTTCAGCGGGGCTTTGACCTGGTTTTGGGAGAACAGCCTTCTGATAAAATATTCAGGTAAGTGGCTATCTAGGGACTCGCTTGTGTATGTCTACAAGCCCCACGTCCCACTTCCCACTAAACTTTCTTTCCGAGAGATAACGTGTAACCTGGGAAGCACATTTAGCTGTTCCACCCTCCCCATCACAAAAGCACCGGCCCCACACTCTCTCCTGGAGATGCCGTGGAGCACGTTGAGGGCACACAGCTCTGTTTGGGTCCTGGCATCCTTCCTGCCTGCTCTGTGAACCCCAGGAATTTACTTAGCCTCCTGTAGCCTCTAGTTTCTGTGTCTGTTAAGTGGGGCTCCATCATATGCCCGGTTCTGTTGCTGTGGGGAATGTATGAGATAATGCGGGGAAAGCCCCTGGCACTGAAACTGCACAGAGCAGGCAATTAATGTCGGTTTCTGCCTCTCCACTTTGCATCTAATTTGCACCTTTTTCATAAAATCTTGTTCGAAATGAATCTGTCCCACCCCTGCCTCCTCCTTTTCTCAGTTCTCCTTCGTTATTATTTTCTTCTCGCTACTTCCCTCCTAATCAAGTTGGGTGTCTCTGGCCCCTCTCAAATTTCTACTGCCATACCTGGAATAGCACATGCTAGAAAAGCCAATGAGCGAGGAAGGATTTGGGTGCCGCCATGAACTATTGGATTTTCTTAAAGTTTAATTTACACCAGGCTTTAGCTGGAACACGTGTTTATTTCCACACTAAGATCTGATCGTCCATTTATTCTTTCAATCTATCCTTCACTCAGTGTGTGTCTGCTTACTACCAGCTAAGTGTCTGACGTTGTGTGTTGCCTAGCAGCATGGACTTGAATGCATCTCCTTCAACATGCACGCCCCCAAGTAGAGGAAGTAAATGGCCCTGCAGGAGGGTCCGATGTCAAAGGATGCATTAAGCCAGAGCGAGGTACTATGGAAGGAATGGGGAACAGTGAGGAGCAGATGGGAAGCTTGTTTCCTTTTCTCTGCACTCCTCCAATGTGTTGGGTCTCATGTATTCACTGCTCCCCTTCCAGCCTTCCCAGACCCTCCATGTTAGCCAGTCCTAGGTGTTCCATTTTGCTCCTGTATGTGCTCCCTGGAGCTGGCTCCTCTGCCCCAGCTTCTCCTGGCCCTCCTCCCTGCTGGCTCTAGGAGGACTGGGTTTGCCCCTACAGTGTTCTCCTAAGGCATGCTCTTAGCAAGAGTGCAGATTTACAGAATCACTTGCTCGCAGAGCCTCCCCCTGCCTTTTTCCCTCCTGAGTGTCTCTCCCAGGGAAGGCTAGGTCACATTAATGGCATAGGCCACAGGCTGCTTTTGAGGATTTGTGCTGCCCAAGATGTCAGCGATATTCCTTAGACTATGACTTGGGCTTTTAAACTTTCCAACCGTGATTTATCATTTGGCTGACTTTGTTCTCTCTCATTCTGCTGCTGGTCTGCTAGGACCTTCAAAGGGTGATAAAGATAAGGCAGATGGAGAGCCTGGTGGAGTTTGGCTGATTAACGCAGATAAGTTTCCTCTCCCCTAAAAGTCAACAACTAACACTTTGAAAAACTGGGGCCTTAATGAAATTGCTATTAGAGCAGAACCTGCACGAAACCTGTGTTTCCATCCCCACAAACACCATTTATTCTTTTCAAGTTTGTTAGCTGCCAACTGGAGGTGATAGCCAAGCACTAACAGAGGGGTCAGTTGCATGGTTCGACTCTTGCAGTCAACTATTTCAGGAGCCAGTGGGGTGGTCAGTCATCTTGGTGCTTGTGACAATAACTAGTCTCCCTGACACACGCAGTGGGTCATGATTTACCAGTTTCAGGTATTCAGAACTTTAATCGAAACCACTCTAGGATAGGAGTAAACCAACTGCCAGTGACTATTCTGGAAAATTCTATGACCTAGTTGGTTAGTGACTGTAATCTCTTAAAGAAGCTAAAGACTGTTTACTTGCCATTCTGCACACCTATGATTTAGTGTCCTGATGAATTCCAAGCCACTGCACATTTCTGACATTGGAGTCTTTGAGTAGTTGAATTCCAGTTTGTAAGTCTGTATTATAAACTGCTCTTCTCCTATGGAACCTTCCATTCTTAGTCAAATCTATTCCCTACCTGATCCACTGTCCCCAGCAACTTGAACATTTCCTACCCTGTGCTTTTGCTCATCCTCTTTCCTCTAGCAAGAATATATATTCTCCTCCTCATATAAACACTACCTATTTTTGTGGTCTGGACCATTGCAAGAAACTGGTTTAAATGCTGTCCATTGACCAAACAAATATGACTGACACAGTTCCTGACTTCAAGGAATTTACAGTCTCATCTAAGAATTGTCCTCCAGGAGAGTCCCAGGGTGCTTCAGAAATGACCATGGTCTTCCCTGGCACAAACCAATTAATTGAAAAGTTCTGAGACGTGGGATCAGGCCATGAGTGTTTTTTCAAAGCACCATGGTAATTCTACTCTCTACCCAGGATAGAGAAACACTGCTCTAAAGCTTCTCCAATCCACTTTTCCTCCTCCAAATATCTGTAACACACTTACTGTAGTATTTATTTGTCAATTATTTTATCTCATGTTTATTTTTATTTGCCTATTTATTTCCCCAGTGAAATGGTTCTCTTCTTGAGGGAAAGAGTAGTACCTGACATGGTTTTAAATATTTAATATCTAACACACAATTTTGAACACAGTAGATCTGTAGCTGACCATTTCAAGTATTTCCTAAGGACTTGAAACCAGATTAATAAAAGACCTTGATACCCAACCTAACCTTGTTAATCTGCAATCCCAACAGAGCTGGAAAGGACCTAAGCTAGACTCTAAGGGTCCCAGGAAGCTGAACCTTCAGTCTTCTCAGCAAACCCAGAATGTGGCCCCAGAGACTTCCTTTCCATTGTGGCTAGGATCATGCAATTCCACTAGACCCTCTGGTGCCAGGATTGGTGCAGACCAGATTTCTTTCTCAGAAACCTCCCTTCCACATGTGTACCTGTGTCACCAGAAACAACACCTCATCCTAGAATGGCCTGCTCTGGGAAAGAGTGGAGATGTCAGCCCCAGAGCTGTTCATCCATTTCCTCCCATTCTCTTTCATCTCAAGCCACGGTGAGAGTACAGGCTTCTGTCCAGTCCTCGCTGGCAAGTGTTTGCCTCTGAGCAGAAGTTTTAAGTACTAGTTCAGCAGTGTCGTGGGCAGGACTCAGCCTACAGCTGAGCCATCAACTGCAGTGGTCACCACCAGCTGTCATGAGAGAAGGCCCAACTTGGGAAAGCAATCCAGATGCTTTCCCAATTTCTCTTTGGTGGCTTTTTGAAGTCATCCCTGCCAAATCTGTATGAATGAGGGACAGATGAGATTTCAGGACACAGCTTTTTTCTCTGACAGTTTGTTCTATATTTGGTTTTTGGAGTTACTCAGTAAATTTTGCAGAGAAAAGAAAACTTTAGAATTTCATAGGCAAGAGCCAGTATGGGCTGGAAAGCTGCTGTGAGCCATACTGAGTATCACACCAACCCCCACCTTTCCCACTTATGGAGAAGGTGACCTTGGAGTGGTTGCTTAACTCCTCCCAATCTTAGTTGACAAATCAGTAAAATGGAGCCAAGAGACCAACCTCACTGGTGAGGATAAATGGAGCAGCTCTACAAAGCCCCTGCCACATTGAGAGTTCTCAAGTGAGGTTAGTCTCAGCCACACCTGGCTGCTTCCTCTGCAGGGTTTCACCTTGTTCCTACCAGGGATTGAAGATTACACTGTTTTTTTCTTGTTAATGTGGTACAGTGTTGTGTCTCAGAAACTACTATGCACTTTAGAAGTTCCTCACAACGTGAAACCCAGAATCATCTTGACCATTAAATCCATTCAAACCCAGAGATTCACACATATCCTGCTCTAAATGAAGGATAATTTTCACCATCTCTTCTACTTTTAAAGTTGAAAGTGGAGATTAAATACCCCTGTAGCCTATGCAAACCAGAGAACATAACTAAATCTCCTTATTGATCAATCAACAAGTATTTATGGAGTGACCCCCCCCCCTTTGGGCCAAAAATTTGTGTTAGACTGGGAGAAACAAAGATGGCAAAGATCCTCTGCCATCCAATAGAGCACATTCTCCTGAGTGGTGACAGACACAGGAAAAGACGGGGCAAATTCAGCATCTCTGGGGCAGCCAGGGACCATGTATGTACACAGAGGAGCGTCCCCTGCTCAGCCTGAGGTTGAGTCTCAAGATCATGGAGGGCTTTCCGGAAGGGGTGGGAATTTTAACAGTCTTAAAATGACTGGAATCCAGCAAAGAAGAAAGGGAAGCAAATTTAGAAAAGATTTAAGAGCAAAGGCAAAAAGGTGAGAAAATTAAGGTGACTTTAGGAACTACAATTGATTGCCCCATAGAAGCAGGAAGTGTGAGGCAGGGTTTGCTGAAAGGAGAAGCTCAAGAAGTGGGTGAGAATGACATCTTTGGAGATACAGACTTTGTTCTGTGGGTCTAAGGCACTGTCGAGTTTTAGTTGCAGAAAAGCGTGGCTTCCTCCTCCCCTCGAACTGTTGCTGCCTGCGGAGGAAGGGAGAACTGAAATGGAGGGACACAGAACCCTCTTCCAAAAGGAAAATTAACCGTCAGAAATATGCTGGAACTGCCAACTGTTTCCTAAAATCTGTTTCATAAATTATAAGCTACAGGTCCCAGATTTGTTGCTCTGCCTCAGTGCAAACTTATAATTTTATAACGAAAATAGAAAACAAAAATTCACCTCTATGTCCAAATAAACAAATACACTGCTTCCTCCCGGTACCATCCAAATTTGTGTATGTGCTCTCTGAAATAACAGATTATTTATAATACTCGTGGTGCTCTCAGCCCGGCCTGCCTGTTATAACGTTGCCCTCAAGAATGTCCATGCTGACATGCAGTGTCAGCATAACTGCTTGCATGCTGTTGCCTTCGACTCACTTCATCCCTCAGTTCCAAATTCCAGGCTCTTTGGGGCAATCCCTTGCCCTGAATTGGCTCCTTAATCTTGCCAGGTGAGGGTGTGTGTGTGTCTCTGTGTGTGTGTGTGTGTGTGTGTGTGTGTGTGTGTGCGTGTGAAGGGGCTGGCATGCCTTCAATTTTACAGCTGCCTCACAGAAGAATGAAGTGGCAGGTGTCCTCTTCTGTCCCCTACAAACGGGCCTCCCTCACCTGGTGTAGACCCTTCCCTGCACTCTGGCACAGACCCAGCCCCAACGATGGCTTTCTGTCCCCAGGAGTGGGAAGAGTGGAATGCCTCATTCAGAGCAAGAAGCATCTCTGCTACCTCAGTGCTGCTTAATGCAGAGATTGCCCAGCAGGTCAGAGTGAGGTTGGGAAAGAGAGGACAATCTCCCAAATCCTGGCTGCATCCCACTTGCTCAGCGGTTTTGCCTCTCGCCCGGGCACTTGCCTTCTCTCCTTCCAGCTGTTCTAGCTCCGAGGGCTGTCATTCTGGGAGTGGGTGAAAAATCACATGAGCCTCGGTCAGTGGGTATTCTCTGTGGCCAGCATTTCAGAGGGCTACGTTTCTCCTAAAACATTGCGCACCAATCCGTCTGGTTTCCCAGCCTCTCAGACAACCCCAGGGAGTGGAGAAGGGAGTGCGTGGGTTAAGGGAGAGGTAGGAGCAGGATTCTAAAGTGGTGCTCTGTGACCGGCATGCAGATCAAGCCAGGGCTGGGTTCTTTTTAATCGTATGCATTCTTCAATTGTTCCTCCCTCCACATTAAGTTGGAAGGGGCCGCCAGACTGCCACAGCCTTGTGATATCCCACCCACACTGGCTTTTATCCCATAGACTATTTTTGACTGTGAACACAGAGTATTTGAATGCCTTTGAAATAAAATGAATGAATAAATAAACAAATAATCTTTCATGGTTTCCTTAAGCTCTCCCTTGAAATGCTGATTGATTCTTTTATTCCTTTTAGCCCCAGTTATAAGAATAATAATAACAAAAAAAAAAAAAAAAAACACAATCTCCTCTGTCTCCAGAGGGTTACTGCCATTAGCTGAGGGTGTAGGTAGGAGTGCGGAGAATATATCCAGGCTTGTTTCTGTTCATCCTCTTCGCTTCTCCCTGGGGCTCCTGGCTTTGGTCCTTTGTGTGTGCATCGCACAACAACGGAAAAGGGGGAGCTTCTCTCTTCCTTTCCCTTGGTAGCGTTTCCCCGGGCACAGAGAGAAGCCATCGCTACCACTGTGAGCGTGCAATCCGAGGGATGGGGATGGTGGGAGGCCAGCCTGTCTCTTCAATTAAAGTGCTTCCAATTATATCTGACTTTGGATAGAGGAAGCCCAGCTTCACATCTGAAGGAAACTGGAATTCGATTTCTGAGGGCTTGATAAAAACCACTTGCAACAGCTGCTGAGTGGGTGCCATCATCAGTTCTCCCTGCTGGCTGGACGTGTGCACAGGAGTGGGCCTCTCTGCCTCCCTCGGACTCCTCATCTTGTCCGCAGCGTGGCAGGCAGCCCCCTTTCCTGAAGAGGCGGCGAGGGCTGAGGAGCAAGCCCCTGGCGGCAGGAGGCCGGGCCCTGCAGCCGGGGTGGCGGTTCCTCCAGCCGTGACCACGTGCTGTTGGGTGTCCCCGCAGATTCACCTACACCCTTGGGGAGGGCATGTGGCTGCCCCTCAGCAAGAGCTTCGTGATCCCACCAGCCGAACTGGCCATTAACCCTTCAGCCAAGTGCAAGACGGACATGACAGTGATGGAGGACGCCGTGGAGGTCAGGTGAGCCTGGGCCCAGGCCGGGAGGCCACGCTGGGCGCGGGGCGCCGGGTGAGGAGCCGCCCCAAGGAGGGCCCGAGCAGCCGGGAGGCGAGGCTGGCAGGCCGCCTTCCGATTCCCAGGCGGCGGTGCCAGGATCCCGTCTACGTGGGTCAGTGTCCACAACCCAAGGCTCATGCTCTGGGAGCGGCCATAAAATCAGAGTTTGTAAGCACTTCCCACATCCCCTAGGGACTGACAGCAATAAAATGTTAATTTCCTTGCCCAAGTTTAGACCTCCTTCTCTGACCAGGCATTACAGCCTTGGCTCCCTTCCCAGATCTAGAGAGTGTCCATAATTTGTTAGTCCAAGGCTCCGAGTGTGGGTGATCTTTACTTTTGGTGAGCGGGAGCGAGAGGCGCGCCGCGGTTGGCTAGGTAGGCACTGGGGCTGTGATGCTCCCCGCGGCACCCAGAGTCCCCTTGACTCCTCGCCCGTCCCCCCGTGTCTCCCCACAGAGAGGAGTTGATGACCTCGTCCTCCTTTGACAGCCTGGAGGTTCTGCTGGACTCCTTCGGGCCGGTGCGCGACTGCAGCAGGGACAACGGGGGCTGCAGCAAGAACTTCCGCTGCATCTCAGACCGCAAGCTCGACTCCACTGGTTGCGTGGTAGGTGGGTCGGTCCCATCAGGTGGGGTGGGTGATGGTGGGGGCACTGGAGGGGGGCACGGGGTTAGACATAATGCAAATGCACAGATGGAAATACTCCGTGAATAAGAGAGAAGGTGCCTGGCTGGCTCAGTCAGTGGAGCATGAGACTCTTAATCTCCAGGTTGTGAGTTCGATCCTCACACATTGGCTGTAGAGATTACTTAGAAATAAAATCTTAAAAAAAAGAAAGAAAGAAAGAAAGAAAGAAAGAAAGAAAGAAAGAAAGAAAGAAAGAAAACGAGAGAGAAGATCAAAAAATGACCCCTCCCTGGTTGTCACCACTGTCTAATCTAAATTATGAATTTTCTCAAGGGCGCCTGGTTGGCTTAGTCAGTTAAGCCACCGACTTTTGTTTTTGGCTTAGTTCGTGCATGGTCTCAGTGTTGTGAGATTGAACCCAGGGCCCGGCCCTGTGCTAGGCGTGGAATCTGCTTAAGATTCTCTCTCTCTCTCCCTTGGGGCACCTGGGTGGCTCAGTCTGTTAAGCATCTGCCTTCAACTCAGGTCATGATCCTGGCGTCCTGGGATGGAGCCCTACATGGGATCCCCGTTCAGCGGGAATCTGCTTCTCCCTCTACCTCTACACTCCTCACTGCTTGTGTTCTCTCTCACTCTCTCTCTATCTCTCCCTCAAATAAATAAATAAATTCTTTAAAAAAAAAAAAAAAACACAGGTTCTCTCTCTCTTGTGCCCCTCCCCCCACATCCCTCTCTAAAAAAAATTAAAAATAAAGGGCACCTGCATGATTCAGTTGGTTAAGTGTCTGCCTTCGATTCAGGTCATGATCCCAGGGTCCTGGGATGGAGGCCCGAGTCAGGCTTCACACTCAGCAGGGAGTCTGCTTCTCCCCCATCTCTGCCCCTACCCCCTGCTTGTGCTTGCTCACTCACTGTCTCTCTCCCTCAGATAAATGAATAAATCTTTTAAAATAAAATAAATAAATAATAAAAAATAAATTGTGAATTTTCTCTTGACAGAGATGTGAAGCTAATCACTAGTCAGCTAATCACAAAATATTCATGGAGCACCTACTATGTGTACTATCACTATCCAAGGGAAATGTCATGAATTACATAGCAGGATCCTTTGTTTCCAGTCTTACAATCAAATTGGTGAGGGATACCCCCAAACAGTTTGAGAATTAGCTGCTTGTTAGTATGATATCAACTCTGATAAGAATTTGACTACGTTGACTGACATAGGAAACTCTACTCTTGTCTTGGGTCAGATGACATTAAGAAGAGATTTTAGGAGAAACCTAAATGATGAAAGAATGATGAAAGAAGTAAGTCATGCCAGGAATGGTAGACGAAAGTAAAAATACATCCCCTTTGAGACCATGACAATGAACTCCTACTCTGCCACCAAAGGTAGTTTTCTACTTTGTCATCATCTATGGGTACTTTGGCTACATGTATAATATGTGATGCTAGAACCTAGAGAGGCCATTTGGTCGAGAGTGTGCTAAGATCGCTCCTGCACTGGGATGAAGAGTGGTTCAACCATGCAGGTAAAGGGAGGCAGGAGCAGATGAAGCCCACAGCTGCCGGTGCCTCTGTATTGGCGTGTTTGTGGCCATCAACACTGTTGTGTACTGCCAGCCCTCCTTTCTTTTAAGGGCAGAATGGTGCAATCCTCACAGAGAGGAGAGGACAAAGAAGGAAGGCAGTGAAGCCAGACATCAAGTGGGCCTAAAGGAGAGGGAGAGCTGGTTCATCGAGACATGTAGTTCTGCAGTGTTTCTGGGGCAAGGCCAGGAGCCCCCAGCTTAGGGAGAACACGTTGCCTCATCCTGCTTCCCAGTCTGACAGTGCTCCAGTAAGGGGACCTGGAGCAAGGCAAGCTAGGAGGAGGTCAGTCCGTCTCTCATGCATCCCCTTCCCGGTCTCTGAGCACCTGCTCGGTTCCCCGAGCTGTGCTCCATCAAAGAGGGGTGTGTGTCTGGGATCCAGGGTGGGACTCTCTCAGCCCTGAGGCCTCCCCAGACTTTCACAGATTAGACAGCAGCTGGAGGGAGCCTGATCCATCTGAGGGAAAGAAAGTGAAGAAAAGAATAGAAGAGAGAGGAGGGGCAGGTAGGTGGGGACCTGGCCAGTCCATCAAAGGAAAGGAAGCAGAACAGAGGACCATCAGGAAAGGACAAAGAAAAATGTTCTGTAGGCTCTGTCTTCTAGAAGCAGCCAGTAGGTAAGGTGAGGTCCAGGTTCTGTCTTCCAGAAGCAGCCAGTAGGTAAGGTGAGGTCCCACAGCACTCCCCTCCCTTTGGCTGGTCCACTTGCAGATGTCTTAAGCAAGGAGCTTCCCAACTGGGTCCCTCAAGAGACAATTTCACTGTCTAATGGAGCTCCCAGCTGAGATGCATTTTCCCCTCCTATTCAACCTGCATTTCTTCATTCAGATTTCAACGTTTCAGTCCTCACTATACTCTGGGGTCATTCTGAATACTGAAACACTATGTGTGCACATGCGTGGATCCCTGTCTCCACCCCACCCCTATCCCAGCCAGTCCCGGATGAATTTGAGTGTGCTCACACCTTCATACACATGCACATGATATGCTCTCCACCTCCTCCCACCTCTCTGCCCCTTTCCCGAGCCCCGAAGGGTTGCCTGTCAAGTGCCTTCTGTTGGTGATCCTCACCCCTTTTACTTGGCATGTAGCCTTGCTGGTATATTTTTGTACTTTTAACACTGTAATCCGTGAGACAGAGCTAGCAGGAATAGTTCCAATGAATATGCATTTGCAATAAGGCCTCTGCGTTTTAGAATCAGAGCCACTGCAGAAAGTCACCCAATTATACCAGGGCTTGGGATAAGCATAACACTTTGAAGTCACTGGTCCACAGTGGCTGCTGGGGGGAGGACAGGCCAGCTGACTGACTGGCAGGCCATTCAATAGACTGTTCTTCCTTGGCCATAGAACACATGATCCCTGAGATAGGAGGACTGCTGGAGTGAGAGCTGATAAACCGTATCATGACTCTTGGGATCATACTGAGAAGTAGATCAGGGACTTTACCCTGAGCTGAGCTGGACATCAGTACAGTCCCAGAACCAACCAGAGTCGTCTAGAGGTAGACTGGGCACAGAGAACCTGGCACCAAACTGCAGTTTGGGAGAATTGAGCTATTGTCTATGTAACCCTGACATTCAGTTCTCTGGGTGCTGCTGAAAGCCTTGTCAGGAAAGCCATGTTTAATGAAAGGAGAAAGAGATGAGGAACTCAGAATACACTGGCCCTTAAAGGAACCTGCTAGATGTGGGACAAGAGGAGGCACCCGTGTATTTTCCTGATTGAACGCCAGCCAGACAGGTGGGGCTGGTGTGCAATGGCCGCTCAATCTTCATTCTTTCTAGGAAGGCAGGACATGTTTCTCAGTTATGCATGATCTCCCACAGGGTTAATTGCTACCCAGCTAATTGCTCTATTGTTTATGTTGTCTCTGAGGACAGGAAACAAATGCCCGTGAAAGACACAGACCTGTAGAAGCCATAATCACTCTGTTCCAAACCAGACCAGTCTCCCAAGGCAGGAATTGTTGAACCTTCGGGAGGGTTCCCAGAGCCGAGGTCAGCCACTCACTTCTGAGAGCTTGGGTCTTACTTCTACCCATTGTCCTTACTGTGCCAAGGTGGGAGGAGTAGTCCCTCCCTGGGAAGCACAATAAGCAGTGAGTCTGTGTCCTGTGAAGTTCCAGAGGTCCTGCAAAGTTCTGTATTCATGTCCTATTGCTGCTGTAACAAATGACCACAAGTTTAGTGGCTTAAAACAATACTCATTTATTATCTTACTGCTCGGTCAGTGAGAATCCAACATGGAGCTCACCGGGCTAAAATCAAGTATTGGCAAGGCTATCTTCCTTTCTGGAGGCTCCAGGGGAGAATCCATTGCCTTGTCTTTTCTAGCTTCTAGAGTCTGCCCTTGGATTTTGGCTCACAGGCCCCTTCTTGCATCTTTAAAGCCAGCCACACTGAATTTTTCTGGCCATTCTTCTGTAGCACATGCTCTCTGATCTTCCTCCCTCATCCACTTTTAAGGATTCTTATGATTACGTTGGGTCCACCTGGATAATCCAGGATAATCTCCCCATCTCAACTTGACCTGCACAACCCCTTCTGTCACGTAAGGTGATCTGTTCACAGGCTTGGGAGGTCATACTGCTGACATCTTGGGGGCCACGAGTGGGAGAAGGCTGTGGGATCAGGGCAGACTCGATAGGCAGGAAGTCGGTTCCCACTCCCAGCTTGAATGAGAGCATCCTCATTCTCATCAAGCCTATTATTGAGGTTTAAGTTAAAACTTGGAAAGTCCGAAAATTATTTCCAATTCTATAAAATAATGGAAAGTCCGTGCTCTACTGCTCCTTCTTATTCTTCACACTCATCCTGAAAGTGGCCAAAAGATGCCTTTGCTTTGTGTGCTATCTGCATGTGCTTAGGTGAGCAGATTGTGGCCTTGAAAGGTAAGGGGTTGGCTTTCCCGCGTTCTCGTGTAATGAACACATGACCTTCCCCACCAGAGCAGTATGCTCTAATGAGCTTTGAATTACCTAGTGACCGTGCCGCCCTTCTGTCCACACGCTGTCCACAATGGTTTCCCACAAAATGTGTCATTTCACCTCTACTGGAGTGCAGACATGTGGAGACCATTACAGATGACCATATCTCTTTCTCTCTGTAGGACAGTAAGCAGAAGCGTATGCTTCAGAGGCTTTCAGAAAAATAGGGACAGGAAGCTGGAACATAAATTTGATTCCATCAAACTTTCCCCTTGGGAGAAGTCCTGTGTGGCTTGAGCTTACATGTCAGAGCCCATCAAAAAGTCAGGGAAATCTTTATTGTGAAAGGGAGATCGCCATGTAGTAAAAGGGAGCTTGTTTTGAGTAAGCTCTCTGGTTGAATATCTTCTGAATCATCCAGGTAAGGCAAAGGTAGGCTCAGCTGCCGGAAAGTGCTCTTCTTCCTGGGACCCGAAACATGCTCAAGTGTCCATCACTACTGTTCATCTGCCAACAGAATGTCCACCCCATAATCTGGAACTGAAGGGTGTGTGTCTCAGGCTTAGTGAGATTTGACTAGACTCCTATGTAATCAATCAACCAAAAATCATTGGAAGCAAAAGAGAGGAGAGACAGTAAAGGAGTTAAAAAAAAAAAAAAAAAGAAGAGGAGTTAAATGGGGGAAAATCATTTTAATCTCATTAGCACACGATGCCTTAGATGTGATGTAATAAGTCAAGAAGCCATGAGCATCTCATGAAAGATGACTAACCTTGTATATTTTAGGGGGCACAAAAATATGAGTTCATTTATTAGACCTTCTCAATGGGGGAGGGTTGTTGCTATAATAAATCGAAGTTTCTTTTTAAGCCCATAGTTTATAAAGTCTCTGGGACTACGAAAAGTAACCTATGCAAAGGGGTTAATGTATGACCTTGGGGCTCAATCCTGAGCAAACAGATCTCTCTTAAGGAACAAGCACAGAAATTGTCCACAAGTCAGAAGACATGAATGGCCAACATTTGCAAAGAGAAAAGACCAGCTCTTCCTGGAGGCAGGACTTTTCTCCTGACAACTGGGCTCTGGCTGCAAATACTTTTAAGAAGAAGGCATGGTTTGGAGCCTGTATTTCTTTGTATTTAGATTCAGATTTTGAGGAGTCCAGAATGTGAATACAACCATACAAGGACCATGTAGGCGAAAACGAAGACAAACTTATACGTGGGAAATGTGATTGATCAGACTCCTTGGAGAAGGAGTGTTCTGGTTCAGTCAGGGTTATGAAGAAAACTCTATTTTCAGTTTCAGCCTTTTTTCTTCCTGGAAATCTTTCAAAAATATTTTTCTCTGAACTGCAGACCAAGTAAGTTACAGTGCAGTGAAGATAATTGCCTCTTTTTTCAGTGATTGAGGATCTTGTCTTGCCTTCAGGGTCATCGCTCTGGACATTTTGAGTGTTTTTGCCTTATAAATATATGCACCTCTTGTGTGTGTGTGTGAAAGATAAGGGGGAGTGAGACACAGAAAGAAAGAAAGGGAAACGGAGAATTTTAGACTAAACCTACAGATCCATAATTGATCCCAGGACATACTCTGGGAGTTGCTCAAAACAATCAAACCAGCAAACAACAGATCTACAGGATTGCTTTACCTGTTGGTGTATCAAATTGACTCTATTTCTGTAGGGATTCCAATGAATCCACATCTTCTCATACCTGAGATGCTGCACAGCAAAGTAAAAGAGATAGACGTGAACTTTGGGATCAAATAAATCTAGGTCCAAAATCTGATTTTGTCATTTTCCACCTCTATGACCTTAAACCAACGTACTACTTAAGCTAAGTTTACTCCTCTGTAAAATGAGGTGAAAAAAGTCTATCTGTGGTGTGGCAATTGAAGATAATACCTATAGATTATCCTGCACATAGAACTACTTAATTCCCGACAGCTGTTATTATTGTTCTAGCTTTGCTTGTAGGAACAACAACAACAAAAATGCATCTTGGGCAAGGCAGCTAACTATCTTCTCTCCAAATCTCCTGAGAGAGTGTAAATATCAGGTGGTCCAATTTGGCATCGCATTGGGCATCTATATCAGGGCCAGGCAAGGTGCGGCTATGCCAAGCTTTGGAATTCTGGAACAAAGCCTGCTTGGGTTTCATTTGGTGAAGTCTTTGTCAGAAATCATGCTTGCTGGAGCACTGTGAAAAAAAGCAGTTGGTTGGGAAGTTGGGAGTCCTGGCTGGCGAGCTAACTGATGCAAGGGTTGAAACCACAGGAAGTGGGAGGACCACCTTGGTCTCTACTTTGATGGCTTTTCTCAAGCTTTATAGAAGTGAAAAAAAAAAAAAAAACTTATAGCAACCAGTGCAGCCCATTTAATTCCAATCAAACTTCTACATCCGTGCCTGGGCAGCCTCACAGTAGTGAAGCCAGCTTCCTTCTGGTGGCACATCTGGCCTAACAGCTGGACAGCCAAGGAAGGGGCTAGATGGGGGTGCTAACAAAACATGGGGTGCTTTCCTCAGCTGGTTCATTTGCTTGTTTACCATCCTCTGGAACATCTGGGTTTGCACCGCATGGGGCAGCCCTTGGAAGCGACTTTTAAAGCCCTCACCTTCCAGCACTTCATGAGGAGGACGGGGGTGGACCAGCCTGGGAGCCTGACAGGCCCGCAGAGGGGCCATTTGTTTGGGAAATTGCAGAATTAGTGTCAGCAAACAGTGCATATCCTGCTGTGATCTTGGGGTGGGGGTGGGTTTTCTGGAACACACCTGCGGCGGCTCTAGGCTACCAGGCAAAAGTGCTTGGCAGTCAAGAGAAAGAAGCAGCCAAGCAGCAGGGCCAGGAGTGTGTGTGGGGTGGGGGGATCACTGTTCCACCAACTTTTGAAAGTTGTTTTGTTTGGGTTTGGGTTTGGGTTTTGGAGGAGTGTGTTAGCTGACAGTATGTTTATAGCACAGTCATTAGAAGCAGGTCAGATCTAGACAGACCCCAGCTCTGCCCCATACTAGCTGCTTGACCCTGGGCAAGTTATTAGACCTCTTCCAGCCTGTGTGAAAGGAACAGCTGTAGTCCAAATGCGCAGGATCTACTGAACAGACAGGAGAACCAGGAAGTCAAAAAATATTCATTGACCCTTTCAGTGGACTCCCATGCAGTGAAATCCTGCATTAATCAGCGATGTTGATGGTTTCCCCATTTATTAAATGAGGCTAATATAGGGTGCTGTGAGATGAAATACTCAGAGTGTCAGCCTAAAGCTCCTAGTAAGTAAGTGTTCAGTTAACAGTGAGTGTTGTGTGTGAGACTGATGGTGGTGTGAGCTAATGATGGGCCAGCTGAGTCATGGGCCTCATAGCCCGCCTGCCAAGTTTCGGGTATATTCCTGTTGTGATCAGCAGTGGGACTTTCAGAAAGTTAAGTTTTCTGTGCCCATGGTTTCTTTACATGCCAAATGGGGCTGATCATACTACATACCTCAAGGGGATGTCTCAAGGGCTGAATGAGTAAGACAATGAGTTAGACCCAGCCTGGTGCACAGTGGGCACTACAGGAGCGCTCCTGCTGCTCACCAAGCCCCTTGGACTTCCCCAGATTCCGGCTGACATCTCTTCCTGAACTGTCTAATTTGCTGGCACTCCTGGGGAGTTTACTGAAGACATAGCAGCTCAGAGAAGCTAATTGTTTCACAATAAGAGTGTCAAGGACACTGGGATAAGCCCAAACCCAAGTACAGCACCCATGGATGCTCATGTAGTAGATGCCCTTGTCTTGCATCTTCTGCGCAGCGTCCTTGAGGCAGGGAGGTCATGATAATGGCCACTTCTACCAAGAGAACAAGCAACCCCCCACAAGGTCACAGAGAAAGCCCACTTCCTCCTTCCAGCAGGAAGCCCTGGCTCTGTCCATTCTCTCCAACACTGTTGGCTATCTGGTACCAACATTGGCAACATGTTTGCATGTAAACAAAACAAAACAAAACAAAAAACTTTTCATACTAAACACAAACAGCAGCACTCCCTTCCTCTAGCCCAAAGAAGCCTCTGTTGATGCTGGTCAATTCTGGCCCACAGCTTCCACCCAACTGGGAGGCTGGCACACCTCACTCTGTCATATGACACTCCCTTCCAGCCTGTTTGGAGGAATTGACTTTAATGCAAATGCCTGTGATCTGTACCCAGGGCGAAGAAGCAAGATGTCAAAAAGGCCACTTGCTTTTAAAGGGAGTCCAGCATAGTGAGAAATTCTTGCACTACTTGCCAATGTTAATGGTTTCAAGGCTGAGTGCTAAAAATAGGCATCAGTGGTTACACTCCGGTTCCCTGAGAACCCGGTCTCCTGATTCACCTCCCGTGTGGATGCTTTTTGATTGTTCCAGTGCCCGTCGGGACTGAGCCCCATGAAGGACAGCTCTGGCTGCTATGACCGCCACATTGGGGTGGACTGCTCAGATGGCTTCAATGGCGGCTGCGAGCAGCTGTGCCTCCAGCAGATGGCACCCTTCCCGGATGACCCAACCTTGTACAACATCCTCATGTTCTGCGGGTGAGTTGAGCTGCCGGAAAGGCCAGCCAGCTTGCTGGCTTGCTGGACACTCAGTGTTAAAACCAGGAAAGTAAATCTAAAAGAACCATCACCCTAGGCTAGCCCTTGGGCTCTGAGGAAAGAGCCTGCAGGACTGGAAGAGCAGCACTTTTAACATCAGAGTTGGGAGGACCTTCAGGGAAAGTCTAGTCCCATCCCCGTGGGGGAGGCCCCTGAGCACAGTCACTGCCTACATACTAGAATTTTCCAGTCTGTGTTCTGTGGAACTGTGTTAATGTGTTTTGTGACAAAAGGATTCCATGGTCCAAAGGTTGGGAATGATTGTGTAAAACTAATTAATTATCCAAGAAGGGGAGGGGGCAATCTTTGGAGGAGTGGAAAACCTAACAATTCTGCCCCTGAAGTCCCACCATTTTGTGTAGCCACCCTCCCCCAGACGTGATCATTCTTCAGTGCAGCTCCTCCGCAGTGAGGTTGAGTGGCTCCCTCATGAGCGGGACTTGGTGGGTGGAAAGATTAAGATTAGAATTCAGGCGCTCTCTGGTGTTTTAAAACTTCTGTGGTTTCCTCAAAATTTAAATGTACACCACTGACTTATATTTAAAGGCCGTTTCATGTTATATTTATAAAGTACAGTTTGACCCATTCTTATACCTTCATAGTTTGCTTGTCTGTCCTTCTTCCTGTCTCTCCCTGTCTCCCCACTCCTTCCCTGGTCACCCCCCACCACCCCCTCCCCATCTTCCTGCCTATCAGGGAGGGTGCACACTTCATGCCACACACCATGTTAGTCACTAGGCAGCACAGATGAATGAATGACGTATAGTTCTTGCTCTCAAGGATCTCATGCTCTAAGAGGCTTGCGATTAAAACCAATGTTTATAATAATTATATAGAATATATAAAATAGCTATGCTATTTTAGCTCTGTCACCAGAAGTCTTTGCCTACTGAATAATCATGACAAGACTATTGGATGGAATGGGGATGTTATTTTATTATATTTCATTTCTTTTCAAATGAAAGTTTTTACCTTCAGCTTCTTGTAAATCCCATTCCATAAATGGAAGCTCGATCTAAATTTTAATGTCTCTATAATGTTATTGTTATGGTTGACCCACTTCAAGTAGTAGAGATAAATCCATAAATTATTTAATATACACTGGAGCACCTGGTTTGTGCAGAGAATCTAGTTAGGTGTTAGATACAGGAGAGGCAGCAGGAGGGGAGACTGGCCTCTGCCCTCAAAGGAGTTCAGAGTGGGACACACACATGGCGGAGGTAGGTCAGTCTGGAAGGGGAAGCTGTAGACTCTCCAGCCACTCAGCTTGGAGTGACTTTCCAAGCCACTGTAGGGAGCCTGCCAAAAAAGTTCCTTGACTTTACGTTTTTGCGTAAAGACTAAACAGCATGCACTTATAATTGAAGAGCTATAGTCACATCTGTTAACACAAACATGTAAATGGTAAACGGGGACTACAGTAACAGATGCAGTAAGGTGGACCTCAGTGGTCCCTCTGCTGGTAACAGCGATAGGAGGATTTGATGCATATTTGCTGTTTGCTGGGGACGTTGTTAGTTCTTTAAGTTCGTTGTTTCACTTGATCTTCTCAACAACCCTGTAAAGCAGCTTTTCCTCCACCTTTTACAGATGTGGAAGCTGAAACTCAGAGAGTTTAATCAGCTGACCTGAATTCGCCCAGTAAAGGGCAACATCACTGCTTTTCACCACTTAACACTATGATTATTTGTTCCTCCATATGGAAGAAAGGTCTTTATCTCGTTACAACAATTACCATAGATAGTAATAAATGATGTGTTTTAATGTCATGAACATCTATAAATTCTAAATCTAGTATATTCTAAGGAGAGACCCACATTAAATTAATATGCTTCTTAAGTGACAGGTTTATCAAAGTAGTTCTTGAACTAACAAATTATATTCTTTTCAGTATAACTACAAATAAGGTCCAATTAATGACGTATGGGTCATTGAGCCATGTTTACCAACATCAGTATTGCTCTTCCATTAGAGTAACTGTACATGTTTAATGGGGAGGGACACCAAGGAGGTGTTCACACGGCATGCCCTAGCGTCTGTTTAGTTCAGGAGGGCTACTCTAAATGGAGGGGGAGTTAATATGGATGACCCTGTGTTTGGATACATTCAAACAGAACACAGTCAGAAGATGATCAATCTCTCTAATTTCTTAGTTGACTTGTCACAGGACCAGATTAGAAGGTTATTAATTTCTTAAGCACAGTGTCATTTTTTTTTTTTTTTGCTGCCTAATTACCCTCCAAACAAATGCAGGGTCTGGCCACATAGATGGTCCTGGAGAAAGGTTCTAGAATACCTCAGATTTAAATGTGGTAACTCACAAGTTTACCTCCAGTGACTCTAACCCTGACCTATCTAGGAGAGGATCCACTTAAAGGAGGAAGTACTCTAAAGCTCTGTAAGCACTTATCTGGAATGGAAAGGCGAGAGGTTCTGTATGGTCACATAATGGAAGGAGGCTTGTAGGTTTAAGAAACTGAGTTATAAAGGGGGCACAATCAAATTGGAATACTCATAATCTTTGCCACCCAACACTCTCCCAAAGGTGTTTCTTCCCAATCTGTTAGGTTGAATTGACTGCATAGCTCATTGATGGAACAAATTTTATCTTGAGTTTCCTACCACGTTAGGTGCATCGAGGATTACAAGCTTGGTGTGGATGGTCGTTCTTGCCAACTCATCACGGAGACCTGCCCAGAGGGAGGAGACTGTGGGGAAAGCAGGGAGGTTCCCATGAACCAGACCCTCTTTGGAGAGATGTTCTTTGGTTACAACAACCATTCCAAGGAAGTGGCTGCAGGACAAGTGTTGAAAGGAACATTCAGGTGAATCTCATGTCTATAGAACTGATTATTCAGGGCTATTGGTGCATCTTCTTCCCTGAAGAGCTTTAAAGTCAGCATAAAGTTTTGTGCTTTGGAGCAAGGTGAGCATGATCCTAAAAGGACAGGTTGTGTTCTCTCCCATGGTCTTCTCCTCTTTCCAGAATCCGGGAACCATGCTTCCTCTGGGTGAACAGTCAAGTGTTAAATACAATTCTATGGGGCAGACCTGGTGGCTCAGCGGTTTAGTGCTGCCTTCAGCCCAGGGCCTGATGCTGGATACCTGGGATCGAGTCCCATGTCAGGCTCCCTGCATGGAGCCTGCTTCTCCCTCTGCCTGTGTCTCTGCCTCTGTCTCTCTGTGTCTCTCATGAATAAATAAATAAAATCTTTTTTTTTAATTTTTTTTAATTTTTATTTATTTATGATAGTCATACACAGAGAGAGAGAGAGGCAGAGACACAGGCAGAGGGAGAAGCAGGCTCCATGCACCGGGAGCCCGACGTGGGATTCGATCCCGGGTCTCCAGGATCGCGCCCCGGGCCAAAGGCAGGCGCTAAACCGTTGCGCCACCCGGGGATCCCCTAAATAAATAAAATCTTAAAAAAAAAATACAGTTCTATCTTGCCCAGGCAGGGACTGAAAGATTTTCCATGGAAGCCACCAGAGAATGCTCAGGTTCTGTTTTGCTCTGAGTGGAAGAATCAGTCTAGAATAGCAGTCCTCAAGTATGGCCCATGGAACCCAAGGGTCCCTGAGATCTTTTCAGGGGATATTCAAGGTCCTGCCTTTTCCAGTTACAGAAAGGCTGGATTTTCTTCATTCATATCAACCCAGATAATATATTGCAATAAGTTGCATGCAGATGTGAGAATCCAACTGTATCTATTAAGTCAGACATTTTAAAAATTTGCAAAAAATATTTTTAAAATGCCAACCCCTCATCATTTTTCATGCTATGTTCAGATTTAATGGACTGATTATTGTCATTTTAGATGCATTAATATGTATTTCTAAAATCTCTCTTTCAATTTCTAATATGGTAAATATTGATAGATATAATCCATACAAAGAAAAAGCTACTTGGAGTGTTCATTTATCTTTAAAACTATAAAGGGGTCCTGAGAACAAAATGTTGGAACCATTGATTTAAAATATCTCTTGGAGATTTTCCATTTGACCCCTGTTCCTATTCTCTCTTAGGCTATTAGAGTACATCTTCCTCAGAGCTCATGCTTACCAGGAGATAATGATGATGAGGGCAAGGAGAAAGCGGGGGGGGGGGGGGGGAGGAGGATGTCATAATATGGACCAGCAATTTATAGCAACCTAGGACTGGACTCCTATGAGCAAACTGATAGTAAGTATGTGGTGGCTGGAGTTTTCTCTGTAGTCTAGAAATGAGACTGCATCTGCCTAGATCTTGTGGAGGTTAGGATCAGGGACTAGGGTCTGGGATGGAAAGGAGGGAAGAATGTTCTAGATCTTCTGACTAGACCTTTTCAGCTGATATTTTTCTCATCTCTCTGAGCCCTCACCCTACCTGTCACACCTTTTCCTACTCCAGACATGTCCATCAAGTGGGGTTCAGTGAGAGGGGAACCTTTTGGTCCAGGAAGAATTTTTTATTATAGGTTGAGATACAGATTGCCCATCAATGAATGGGGTTCACCTTTACACTCAGAAATGAAAATCTGCTAACATTTCCAGGCAAAACAACTTTGCTCGAGGTTTAGATCAGCAACTGCCAGATGGTCTTGTGGTGGCCACTGTCCCCCTGGAGAATCAGTGCCTGGAGGAAATCTCGGAGCCCACCCCCGACCCTGAGTTCCTGACTGGTGAGTGTGCCTCCTGCCCTTACTCAACTGACAAAAACCAGGCAGCTCCCAACAGTTTCACAAGATCAAAACTCTTGACCTCACTTATTTTTGTTTTGAAGCCAGTGATTTTCTTGATACACAATAAAAGCTCAATTCTAAAACACTATATAGTAAGATTATTTGTCAGTGAAATTGCCAAGATTAGTATATAATCATCTGCAAAATGGTCTAATAATACCTTTCCCTGCTAGTCTTATTGAGATCTTTGAAAATAGATGGCATAATAGATGGGTAAAAGTTCAGAGGTCTCAGTGGATTAGAGGGAGTAGAGTCAGAGAGAAGGTGGATGTCTATCATCACCTAGACGTCTGTCACTGGGGCCACTGTGTTCTCTGGAAAGTACTTATGGACCAGTGTGAGAGAGGAGGAAATGCTTCTCATTTCTGGGCCTCTGAAGACCACCCCACCCATTAACACCTCATGGACCAAAGAAGACACTTCAAAGGGTCCGTTGAACCAAAAAGGGGGAGACAACCAGGAACTCAGCGTCATGTGCTAGAAAGTTGGATGTGAGCTCAGTTCCACTGCTGGTTTGCTCATTTCCCATTATTTTTCTCCCTTCCTCGTTCTATGTCTCCCTTATCCTATACCTTTCTGTCCTTTTCCTTTCCTTTTCAGAAGAACGGGTTGTGCTAAGGGCAAGCCTTTTCAAGATATCAAGTTATGTTTAAACTTTATTTTAGACATGAACCGGATTAGAAATAGGTCTGTCTATGGGAGTATTGTGTAGCATAGACTCTGGGGCCTAATAGCTCAGCTCAACTCTTCACTGGATGTGTGATCTTGGACAAGTTGTCTACCTTCTCTACCCATGAAAATGGATATAAAACTATCCTCCATGTAGGATGAATACAAGGAATAAATAAATTAATATTTGTAAAGTTTTTAGAATTGTTCCTAATGCATAGTGAGATGTACATTTGTTGAATAAATAAGTATATCAAGGAAGAAAAGGAATATGAACATTCAGAGTACCAAATAGTATTTTCCCTATAGAAACAGAAAGAGTAAGGGAGAAAACAATTTAAGTATAAGCTAGACCAGGAATAAGTGTCATCAAAATCTAAAAGATGACACACACAGACACACACACTAAACTGAAAAAATTAAAAATGCGGCCTTTGGCCATATGTCTAAAGCTGACATCTCTAGTGTTCGAGAATCTAGTTTTCTTTTTTCCACCACTTTTGCTGAGAAACACTTCCTGTGTGTATGCAAAATGCATGTGAAGGGAAGTGTGAGATGATACACACAAACAGAACAGGTTCCACATTAGAGATACATGTCTTCTGTTTAAAGCTCCACCAAGATCTCACATGTAATAATGTATTGTGGAAGTGAGGAGATTATACTTCAGGTGCTAGGCTGGGAAGACATAGAGTAGTCCTAGATGCTACCTGAGGCTTTTTTGGAGGAGTGTGTGGCTAAATCTGAGAAATATCAGAAGAACATACTTGAATCTACATCTTTGGAAATAAGGGACAAATCCAAACTTGGTCCTCATCCACAGCACCCTTGGACCTCTCCTAATTTGGCATATTTGAGGTAAAAGGAGTAAAAGGGTATCCATATGGATCACTTCCATTTTTCATGGCCTTGAAAGAGTAAAGTCTAACATTTGATGTACAAAGTTTCAGTCTTATTTTTTAAAGCCCAGAATGACTAGAAGAATTAAAGAGATGGTTGACCAAATTTCTCCCATATTAACTTTCTAGTTCTGGTAACATTTTAATTGTATCTTTCCTGAGAGTCACATAGAGAATATCGTATCATGCTGCACTAGGTGCTATTATAGGTCATAATCCCCATAAACCTACAAGCTGAGAAGATTTTAGAGCTAAAGTGATCTTCAGAATCTTCAATCTCAGCATTTACAATTTACAAGCATGGTGATGTTCCCCCCCCCCCCCCATGGAAAGTCAGTGCTCCACTAATAAATAGGTTCTTTATTTAAATACATTTGGAAAGACTATAGTATCTACTTCTCAGCAATTTGTAACACCTTAGCCTAGAGAGACAAGTCCCAAGAAGCCCTGGAGTGAAGAAATCCCTTCTACTTCACTTAACCCAGCAATTCCCAAACCTATTTAACTAGAGAATCCTTTTACACATAATAACTATTTCCATCTTTCAGAATTATTGGTTTGAAGAAAACATACTGGAAAATATTGATTTATGTGTGTTATCTTGCTGAGTGCTTCCCTCTTCATCAAAATAAGAGTTAAGAACTCTGAGCTTCACCAGCCTTTTTGGGGTTAGAAGTTGTGTGGAAATAAATGAAGAGCCGCCAAATTAAAACAGGTGAAGACTATTTATTCAAAGCTTGCTAGAGCATAGGATTCAGCCACCACCACTTGCATTTTGGCCAAGACTGAAGGCAGGCAGAGGAATAGGAAAAGGAGTAGGAAAGCTTTAGAGGAAAGAAGCAAGTGCTTCAGGTGGTCTCTGGTTGGAGGCTATTAGCATGTAGGTGGGCCAACTGGCTAGGAGTGAGGCATTCTAGGTAGATGTTTAGATATTTGTCTGGTTGGACCTAAGTTGAAAGCAAGAACAAAAACTAGGAAAGTTGTCAGTTATCAATCAAGTCCTGGTCATGTTGGGCCAATTTTTACAAGCATATTGTTTGGCTTCCTGGACTGATTGCTGGAGATAGTGGTCTGACTTCTCTAAGTGATTTGTAGACAGTAAACTAGCTTCTTGGGCTGGTTCCTGTAGATAATAGGTTGGTTTCCTGGGCTTTTTGTGCCAGATTATGGGTCAGAGTTCTATTTTTTATAAGCAATCTGTCTGTTGTCTATTTGTATTTTAAGTCTCTCAGCTGAGAGAAAGAAGAATCTGGAGGCAGACCAAGGAGAGAGAGGAAGCTGCTGGCCACATTCATGGGCCGATGGATGCCATCATTACTAAATTTGTGTGAAGATTTAGAGCTCTGATCTCTCTGGAACTTCAGGCTCATCTGAAGAAAACAGACTTTTAAAACTTTTGGGCATAATACATTATGACATTTCAAATAAAATAACAGAAGAGAGCAATCCTCCCTCCCTCTCTCTATCTCTCTCTCTCCCCCTCCATCCCTCCTTCTTCCTTTCTTTATTGCACAGAACTCTATTCTGTCATTCTATTTTCCAAGCATAGTTAGGGGAAAGTATGTTCCTTCTTGAGAAAACATAGAGATATTTTGTTCAAAAATAAAAAAGAGTCATTGAGAAATGTATTCCCAAATAATAATAAAATAAAATAAAATACTAGAGCTGACTATATGTCAAGGGCACCCTGAGAAAGAATCCTATGACACAGTCTATGACAACATATACTTTAAAATACCCCTTTCTAACTAATGGACATATTATCGGTATGCAGGCACAGAACAAACACCTCCACTGTTTCCCTGACTATGGCGGAGCCGAGATGCACGCAGTAGGATTATTGTTCAGGGGCTAAGTTTTGGGGCTCAGATGCTTGGCTCATCGTGGATGAACATGGGACACTGCTATCCCTTCCTACCCCTGACATCCTGCGTTCTTTCTTTCTTCTTCACTCTGTTGTTCTGAACTAAAGCCTAGGAATTTATAATAAAAGCATCTATGAAGAAATGGCTGGTTTACACAATTAGCGGTGATGAGGCAGATGATAATGAGAGAAGCCATGCATGTATATGATGCTTTATTTTTTCTCAACATACTTTTATGCTTATAACTTTATTGGGCTCTGGCAGCCTACCTGTGAAGCAGGTCAGATGAATTCCAGTATCACCACTTTTCAGATAGGAAAGTGGGAACATATGAGTTGCCTTGTCGAAAGTCACAGAGCTGGTCAGAATCTCAGGTTTGAAGAGGAAGCAAGAGGTCACCTCAGCTAAGCCTCTCACATGGCAGATGACAGCACTGGCAATAAAAAGTTCCCCCAGCCAGGTAGCCAGAGAGGAACTCAGCCAGCGACTGGCAGCAGAGACCCGACCCCTCCAGCAACACTGCTGGTGTTAGAACTCCAGCTTCCTGATTTCCTGCCCGTCTCTTTTCCCGCTAGGAAACAACTCTATTAAAGGGAATGTTTTCCAATACACTGAAAAGTCTTCATTGACTGGATTTGCTACTCTTTTTTTTATTATTATTATTAATAGACTTCTTGAAATCACAGCAAGCTGGTGAGCTGATGTAACTAGAGAATGCATGTTATGTAGAATAGTTCTATGAAGCACTCACATTTTATGCTCTAATGAGGAGTGTTAATCCTGTAAGGTTGGAATTTCATTTATATGCTTTTAAAATTAACTGAAAGGTTAAAAGCCAGAGCATGGGATAGTATGACTGTTGTCACAAAGCCTAATGCCCTGAAAGAACATTTGAAAGAAGAAAAGTACTGAAAACCTTCTTTTAGTTTCAAGCAACTTATCTTTGATTGCCTGAGATAAAGTGTAAGCAGTTGATTCATGAAGCACCTCTTCTGACCTTTTTGCTTTTTGCCTCACCAACAATTATTCCTGTATGATTCACATGGAAATGGAAATTTGGCAGTTACTCGGCTAATTTGATCAGAGCTGACAAGCAGCTAATTAATCCACCCCCTCTTCATCCAGTTTATGTATTAAATTAGTTGATTTAGCCTGAAGAAATCATGGGTCAAAATGGCAGGATAATTTAGTATGTATGTATTATCACCATTGTATTTATACATATTATACATATAATATTTATACATATTTATACGCCATTGTATTTATACATATTATACATATAATATTTATACATATTTATACACCATTGAATTTATACATATTATACATATAATATTTATACATAAAGTTTCTATACATGTTGCCATTATATTTACATATAAATATATATGCACATACACACATGCATACATATATATTTATTTCTATAACTTACAGCAAATGTTAGGCATAGAGATGAAGCTAAAATTGGTTTTCTAAACTTAGCAAGGTGATTTTTTTTATTTCTTGTAGTCTAATTATTTTGTTTCTGTAGCATTTTATATTTATGGTAATGACTAGAATTCAAATTGGATGCCATTCTTTTTCCGCGATGCTCAAGCAAGAACAGCCCATTTTAGCATGTCTAAGCGGCTACAAGGATATGCTTATTGAGAATGACTTTGGGCAAGTACCTTGGCTTCTCAGAGCCTCAGTTCTCTCATTGTTAAAACAAAGACCGCAAATAAAGTGTCTGTTATAGTGTCTGGCATTCCATACAGGGCCACCCTGCTCCTTAATGACTGAGTCACGCTGACCCTGTCCCTCCTGGTGAAGAAGAAATAAGCATTATCAGCTTCAGAGTAATTAAAACTTAAATACTGAACACAAATCAGTTAAATGGGACAGAAAACTCAATATCAGGTACGTGAGCTGAGTCAATTACTACAGCTATTAAAGAGAGTAAAACTTGCGTATGTTACAGTAAGCCTAGAGTTTCATATAAATTTGCTAAGGGAATATTATAGTAGAATGATTGAGAACCCCACCCTGTCTCAGATAGATCTGGAACTCCATCCTGGCCCCGCCTCATGGCTGAGGGTCCATAACACCCTCTCTGGGCCTCTGTTTCCCCATTTACGAACTGCAGATGATAACACCTATCTCGCAATGATCGAATGACTTTATATATGCAGAGCGCTTAGCAAAATGTCACAGAGTAAGGCTCAATACATGAGAGCTGTTGTCACTGTGATTCCAGAAATTCTCTCCATCAAAGAATGCTTTCTCGTTTTCTCACAATGACACCCGCTAACCCAGTAGGCTTGGGACCTGAGAATCAATCTCACACACTGAGCCTGCGTCTCCTCTGTCCCTAGGGATGGTGAACTTCAGTGAGGTGTCTGGATACCCTGTGTTGCAGCACTGGAAGGTCCGGTCTGTGATGTACCACATCAAACTCAACCAAGTGGCCGTCTCTCAGGGTGAGCACAGCAGCAAGCCGTCCCTCCTATTTGCTCCTGGGGCGTGGAGTTCCTTTCCAAGGGCACAAGCCTTTGATCCCATTGTGCAAATACAGCCTAAAATGGAGCCACTTTGTGAGATACATAACCTATTCACTCAGATTCACCCCTTACGGGCAAACACCCAGAATCCAATCGTTGTCTAAGGATAGATTAAATTGCAAGTTTTATCTTGGACTATAGAAGAGATGGAAAGGGCAAGGCGGGGCTGCTGAGGATAAACACCTACTTTATCATTCTTCCTGGGGTCACACAGTATACAAAGAGGATATGCAAAAGTAGACTTTTTTATAAATTGACAGAATAAAAACCTTCCAAATGCAAAGAACATCCTTTAGAGTTTTCATACAGGAAAGAAATAGGGGAAAAAAAAGAGCAAAAATGAGGAAGGGGTGGGGGAGAGGGAATAGAAAACAATGTTTATGGTCCCTAAACAGCAAGTGAGGAAAGATAGATAGATGATAGATAAGAGAGATAGATACCTAATAAGTTAAGGAGCAGTGAATTCCAAAAACAAGGACAAATTGATCCATAACAGAACAGTGAGGCGCCTTGTAAAGAACAAGTATTCTTCACATTTGAGCGGTAAATGCCTTGAATCAAGTTTTGCCTAGCACTGAAGCAATCCTAATGTGCAATCTGCAGATGGAAAAGTTGCTACAACTAAGGCCTTAATATAGGTACACATCTCCATCCCACCTCATCCCCTTGGACTAGGACAGCCTTTCTCAGCTCCTTCCTCCTTCCACCTAAAGAATGTAGCAGACGGGAGGGTTACACCGAGGCATCTGGTTTCTCTGTGTTGGATGAGAAGGTAACCAGAACCAGATGATATTGTTGGCGTGGGATGGCAAGACAAGGAAAAGGATCTTCGGGTCAGCAATCGGGAGGCAGAGCCTTAGAGCCAACAGAAGAGAGAACAAAGGTAGGGGATGAAATTATAGAGAGGAAGTGAGACCTATATTCACAAAAGGTAAAACTTTATGCATCGGGAAAGAAAATGCATTAAGGATGTAGAATATTTCCATAGGACACAGGGGGACTCAGAACTCTGTTTAATTTCACCTGAAAGGGTTCTTGGCAAGAAGGGCCCGGGGTGGGAAATCTTACTGAAGTCAACCCTGCTGGTACAGAAAAACCTTGAAAGAACTAAGCTACTCCTCATTCTAGAAAAACGCAGCAGTAGAGACTGTCCTGTTCACATGCAGCACGGGTGATGGGCACACTGGGGCTTAACAAGGGGATAGCACTGCTGCCATGTGCCTTTCAAAGCCACACGTGGCATCACAGGTGAAATGGACTTCCGCACTTGGGGTCTCATGCCAGGGCCAAGCGTTGCCTTGTCCTGATAGGACACAGGTGTGTACAGAGGAAGATTGCCTGAAGCTGGCCTGGTTCAGAGGTATTAGATTTGGAAAACTGGTCATGGGAATTACCAGTGTAATTTTCCTAAATGGGAAAAATGAATCCCTGGAGATTTGTCTGGGGAGGCGGGAGGGGGACAAACAGATCCCTTCCTCCATCTGCCGTCTCCCTGCCCATATACTTGTGATTTTCTGAAATAAATATAAGCGGTATATTAATGACTTTTCTCACTCCTCTTCTTCCATTATCTTCCCATTACCAGTGTCTATGTCTGGAGGCAATTCTGGCTCCAAAAACTCTTTTGGTCACTACCCACAGTTAGAATCCACTTTTAACACTGTGACCTTGAGATATGCACACTCCCACATACGCACAACAGAAATTTCATGAAGCAGTACTTCATTTTACGATGTGAAATGTTCCTTGCTGGTATTTGTGTTTCTATTTTAGGCTATGCTATTCTTTTTTTTTGAAACGCTATTATTTGAGCTCACTAAATTGATTTAATGTCATGACTTATGATTTGAAAAAAGAAAAAACAACATCGACTTAAGCAGGGAGTTAGATGTGGCAATGTTCTGCCTGCGTGAAGTTAACGTAACCAACGGGCCTGAGAGATACTCACTTAGGAACTAAACTGTCTGAGTTAGCTAACTGGAAACGCTCACCTGATGGTTCCAGCCAGCTCTCTGACGTCACTTTGGGCCATCCAGGCACTTCTGCTTTTGAGGCTGAATGGCCTGGGAATCCAGATACCCAAGGTGTGAGTCCTCACTCTTACTCTTGGGTGGTGTCTCTCCATAGCCCTCAGCAACGCGCTCCACTCCCTGGACGGGGCTACGTCTCGCGGGGATTTTGTGGCCTTGTTGGACCAGTTTGGCAACCATTACATCCAGGAAGCAATCTATGGCTTCGAGGAGTCCTGTTCCATCTGGTACCCAAACAAGCAGGTCCAGCGGCGACTCTGGCTGGAATATGAAGACATCAGCAAAGGTGAGTGATGTCCCTAGATCATCAGCAGATTCTACTCCCCATGCAGGTACGGCGGTCTAGGTGCAAATCATAAGACCAAACCAAAGGAGTCTGTTGGCAAGGGACTAATTCAGATGATGCTCTGTGCCCATCCCTAAAGTTGCCGAGGTTGGAGTGTTTCAGGAAACTTTATGTGCAGGAAGGGGTCAAAAGTGTATGGTCACTGTGTTAGATATCATGGCCAGAGTCCTCTAACTACCTGTCCCCATGCATTCTGCTGTCATAGCAAGGGTTAGGTATTCAACTGTTTTTATGGACTGGGGGAGAAGCAAGAGAGTGTTGCAGTCTCCCCCACTACTTCCTACCACCAGCAGTACTGCCTCCACCCTCCATGGCTGGCAACCCTTTCCAATAACCACAGAGAAAACTCTTCTTACTCCATCCTGCCCTGTGTTTAGGCTCATTTTCCTACTGATGTGTGCAAAGAGGAAATCTCCATAGGCTCAAGTGTTTATACAGCTCTGGATAACAGCCTTACAAATAAATGTTTGTCCACTGTTTGATAGCTAGTTAGTATTCAGTCCAAGTAAGTATAAGAAATTGGAATTATTCAAACCTTGTGAATTCACCTTCTGGTATGGGAGGAGTACTGGCTGGCAAATACGTATTCTGATCAACCAAAACTGAGGTAGAATTGCCATTCATGGAATTTCTTCTGAGCTTATCCTCGTGGCACTCTGATGAGGGCACGTTATGGATGTGTGAGTTGCAAAAGGGCAAGCGATGAAATTAGTGCGATGGAAACTGAAGAAGTAGGTCATCTTAACATTTAATGATCAAGAGTCCCTCTGCAATGAGGGACCCTGTGTGTCAGCAATGCTGTGGTAGAAAATGTGCCTCCATGCTGAGATGCTCTTGACTTTCTGAGCTCCATACACATTTTTATTTTGTCTTGCTCAATAGGTAGCAGAGGCATGAGGGCCTCTCTTCTGGCTGGGCATTTTCTTACAGAAGAAGCAAAAGGCTTGTGTCTGGGCTCCAATTGTTACAGGCATTTCCCCCCAAGCTCTGATTCCTCTAAACTCAAAGACACAATCACAGGCTTCTAGCATCCTTTCAAACTTCAGTCTCTTAAAATTGTTCCGATTCCAGTTTGCCAAGAAAGGAGTGTCATGTAAGCAAATGTAGATAAGACCAGTTTCAGCTGGCACAGCTTTCTTACATTTCTGTGCCAGAGCTTAGTGATTGAACCAAAAGGCTAATTCTTCCCGTTTCTGTTTGCCAATGGTTCAGGGATGGCGAGGTTCTGGGACTGCTGGGAAATGAGTCTGACCTTCCCCAGAACTCCTGGTTCTTCTATTCCTTGCTTCTGTCCTGAGCATTGCAGTGTCCTTGAAGTTAAACACTGAGCCCAGGGAGGAGATGTATCTATGACCTTGGCGCTGTGTCCAACCTATCTTGATCCCAAGCCATTCTTACCATGTAGGAGTTCATTTTGTCACACTCCAACTGGTGACTTTAGTTCTCTTAGGTATTCTGTATACAATCCCTTGCCTGTTATTGATCTTGGAAGATATTCAAACATTTTAGTATGTCTGCTTAGATCTCTTTCAGTTGTCCATGTATATTACCCCACCCCCCGTCTTACTCTGCATCATAGACTTTATATCTCTTCTGTTGTTTGGTCTGCATATTACTCTTAAATGTTTTTCTCCTCCCTAGGCACTAATTTCTTTTTCTTCCAAAAGCATGAAGTATGCTGATGATGAAGACTCAAATACGTAAAACAAAGGAAGATTTTCTTCCACTCGTCTGCACTCTGAAGGGATTGCTCCAGAATGGGATTTATATGCTAGTGGTGACAAGTATTCTGAGAGGGCTATACCGCCCATGACATAAAAGTGACATCTTGTTGGACTCAAGTCTTTTGATTATATGTTCTTGCCTGCTTCAGCTTTCAAAACCTCCTAGTAAAAAGGGTTCCTCTGCTGTTTACTTTTGCACCTGTGATCAGATACCTAAAATTGCTCACCGAATGAAAAGGAAAGGAGGTTGATTAGGGGTGAAATGAAATGGAAAATGCACAGGACTTACGGGTTGGGTATCTAGCACCTGTCAGGTGACTTTTGCTTAGTTCACTGTTGGAATCTTGCTGTAATGCCATCTTGTGTTTCTTTCCAGCTCTCATAGTTTATGGATCCTTATAAGTCCCTCTTTATGTGAGCAATTTTCCCAGGTCAGGCATTAGGGTCAAGATTGCCCTCTCCTCTCTAAGTCCCTACAAAATCTCTCAAAGGTAGAGTTAATGCCTTAGTCAACTTTAAATTCCCAGAGTCTAACACAGAGCAGGGCATGGCGAGCCCCCAACAATTGTTTATTGTGGTTATTGGTGGTGGTGGTAGAAGGGGTGGCGGCAGCTGTGGAAACGGTAGGAAGAGCCCTTCTGGTGTGGCAGGTTTCCAAGTGGGTTTTATTATAGACATGCAAAGTGCTCTAGTTCTGCCTGACTGACGAAAACTCACAGATGGATATTTTTGGCCAGATCCTCAGAAGGCATCCTTCCATTCATCATGCACTTATTTGTTATACTACCACTATATGGTTTGGCCATACCAATATTTAGGAACATCTGTCTTTTGGTAAGTTTGACTGAAGCCTACAAAAAATAAACTTCTATTTCTCATTGCTTAAGATTAGCCTCTCCTTTTTTTTTTTTTTTTACAGAGCAGATAAGATCTATTAGCATTGAAATTTCCCAGCCTCCCCTCTCCACTGCTAAACTGACTTTTACCTTCTCTCATTGTTCTTTGCCCTCCTGCCTCAGAAAGTGTAATGAATTCTTCTTTAGGCTAAACTCTCCACCTGTGCAGCAGTACCCGTCCCCCTCTGCTTCCTCTTAGACCCCATTCATTCAATAGTGTCTTCATCTTTTTTTTTTAAGATTTTATTTATTTATGAGACACATACACACACACACACACACACACAGAGAGAGAGAGAGAGGCAGAGACACAGGCAGAGGGAGAAGCAGGCTCCATGCAGAGAGCACGACGTGGGACTTGATCCCAGGACTCCAGGATCACACCCTGGGCCGAAAGCAGGCACTAAACCATTGAGCCACCCAAGGATCCCTAGTGTCTTCATCTTTACAATCCTTCAGCCACTTGAATTGTTCCTCCCTCCGCCTTCTGTCTCCCCACAAAAAATAATAATTTCATAAACATACAAATCTTTTACCACTATTTCCTTTCAACATATTACCACCAAACTTACTGAGTCAGTGGTTTATACATCTTTTCTCTACTTCCTCAACTTCTTTTCACTTTTCAAATTATTATTATTCGCTCTCAACCCCTTTCACTCTACAGAAACAGCTCTGGAGAAGGGAATCAAAGGCTTCTTAATCAGAGGTTCACTTTTCCATCCGATGATTATTTTATCTATGCCTGCTGAAGAATTTGTCCCTCTTGACCAGGTCTGCCTTCTCAAAAATTCTGTCTTCCCTTGGTGTCCCTGATTCTATTCTCTTGCAGATTCTCTTTATAATTCTTGGTCTTTATTTCTCATTCTTTTTTTTCCCTTACACCTCTAAAGAAATCATTACATTTTGCTTTCCAGAATTTCCTCTGTAATATCCAGCTTCACTGTTGCTGAGGGATTCTCTTCAATTCCACCTCAACCTACATCTCCAATTCTTCGCTTCTCCCAGACATTCAAGACCTCATCTGCCCTTGAGTATTGAGCATTTCTACCTGGATATTCTGTGGGGATCTAAGTGGTCCCGTCTCTTTTCTCTGTATCCACTAGTACATTTGTCCACTATGCTGTGGGATCACGACACAAAGTGAGGGGTCACTTTGTGACTCCTCCATCCTCCATCCACCATATTCACCCATTTACAAAGTGCTATTCTTTTTTACCACCTAAATATTTCTCCAATAGGTGTCTCTTCCTGTCCATTTCTCGAAGTTGTATGAGTTTACAGTATCAGCTCTCATGAGAACTGGGGCTGCTTCCTCACGTGGCTCCTTTTCTTCAGTTTCCTGCCTCTCTGGTGTAGTCCACGTGACAACTATCTTCTTAAAACACCACTTAACCACATGACTCCTTGGCCTGAAGTCCTTCACTAACTTCTAGCTGCCTTCCCAACATGAGCGTAACCTTGCTCCCTGTATTAGTTTCCTAGGGTTGTTGTGACAAATCACCACAAACTGGGTGGCTTAAAACCACATAAATTTATTCACTGACTGTTCTGGAGCCAGAGGTTCAAACTCAGCTTCAGTGGCTAAATGCAAGGTATAGTAAGGTAGCTCCTTCTAGAGGCTCTAGGGCAGAATCCCTTCCTTGCCCCTTCCAGCTTCTCAAGGGCGTCTGTGTTCCTTGGTTTGTGGCCGTCTCCATGTTTAAGGTGTGTCACTCTGATCTCTGAGTCACCTGGCTCTCTGCCAGGACTCTTCCTGCCTCCTCTTTCTTATAAGGACCCTTTGGATTACACAGGGCCTGCCCAGATAATCCAGGATAATCTCCCTATCTCAGGAGTCCTCATTTAAGCTTCTCTAGGAAAGAAAGTTCCTTTTGCCATTCACAGGTGACCTTCACAGATTCCAGAGATCAGGACCTAGGCATCTGGCCACTCCCTACACCAAGTGTCCTCCCCTTGGATACAAGGCTGCTTGCTCTCAATCCCAACCCTTGCATTTGCTTGCAGACAGTGGGAGACCTCAGAGGCTCCCTCCCTGCCCCAGTCTAAGGCCATAGATATGCTCATTGAGGTCTCCACCACTGAGTTTCTATCTCAGAAATTTCTTCTTGGATCCCTGTCCCTTCTCCTCTTGGGGTTCGCTGTGTTTCTCCTTTCCCAGATGTCTCTGTTCAGTTGCCTAATTTCTGGGAGGATCTTCCCCTTTCCGTAGCCCCTTAAGATTAGCAAATTAGTCTTCCTGGCTACAATTTCTGCTTCTTTCATTTTTTAATTGCCCTCTTCAGCTGTATAAATTGCCATTTGCAATTAGATGATACTT